TATTATTATCTGCGCTGTGTGTGTGTGTGTGTGTGTGTGTGTGTGTGTGTGTGTGTGTGTGTGTGTGTTTAAACCTTGTGGTGGATTGTATACGAAGTACTTGCCAAAGACCCGTCACTTTCCTTACAGATCAGTACTCATGGGTGTCCTAATAGTAGGAATCCGGCCAACTCGGGCTTCCGCTCCTTCTACAGGGCATCTCTACTCCCTACGGCACTTTTCAGAGGCTTACAAAGAAAGACGACTTGCGAATTATAGTAGACTATAGTACTTTCTTTTGCGATTTGATCAGTCGTTCAATGGTGGAAAGCTGAAACTTGACATGTATGTAGTCACTATTCAAAAGGTAGCAGCCAGTACTCCGTGGTAAGCGCCAAGATAGAACAGCCCTAGAACAAAAAAGAACACAGCAATACCGTCCCTCGCGAAGGGATGTTCAAGAAAGGCTCCCCCTATATATTCTCACGACACAAAAAGCCAGCCGGTCTGGATGTGTCCGTATCTTGGATCCTCTAGGTGCGATTCATATATCCCGTATACTTCTCGCCTGCAATCTATAGGCGGAGCGGGCTTAGGATAAGTTCTGGATGAATGAAAATTGAACGCCACCAGTTGATTCTCAGCGCTAGGACTTATCAGAGGTTTAAGCCGAGCTACTGCGGGCATGGGAGGATCACATGCCGTCAGTCCAACGCGTGACATCCATGGGTTTGCCAAAAAAAATTCAACACCAACAATGACTATATCCCACCCTTATACTCCAGTTGCGGGTGACAGGGCGGAGGAGACCCTGACCCTGACCCGTGAAGACACAAGAAAATTGTAGACCACCCCCAACTTGCCTGCAAGATTCACCGAGCATGACTTATAAGAAAAGACAGACATAAGGGCGAACAAGGAAAACAGAAATGAAAACTGAACAGCCTAGAAAACGATACCATATCTCAGGTCGTACACTCGCACGCGCACACAACGGAAACAAAAATGATAAAAGGTCATTACATCGTCAAGTGCCTCCATCCATAGGACGGATGATTAGCCCAAGCATAGATAGAGGATATGAAGACAGATGCGAAGAGGGAAACTGGAGCCAACGCCCAAAACATGGGCATGTAGGAATGCCAGAAGAGGGGAGGAGAGGAAGAGAGTCAGAAGGAAAAGCTGAAGATAACACAAGGCAACAGGAAAACAAGACTTCTTCGTTTTAGTCTCTAGTAATCGGTGCCCACACCCTTCTTTTTTGGCTGGATATGTTTTTGGCCGTTTCCGCCACTATTGCCTTTTTGATTTAAGGATGTGCTGTCTTCTGGTGGAGGTGGCATGCGAGTGCTTGTCGCTTCGTGTTTCTCGGTCAAGAGATTCTTCAGCCATCGATTTTCCATCTCCAGTTGGGCCACGCGGGCCTCGAGAGTAGCATTCTTTTCAGTAGTCTCTCGCACTGTGCGTTCTAGCGTCTGTTCACGCTGCTTCTTTTTCATGCGAAACCGGGCGCTAGCCGCGGTGTTCCGCCGCCGCCGGTCTTCTTCGGCAGCACGACGAACATGCTCTTCTTGTGAAAGGGCAGAAGCGAGGTGATCGCCGGGGATCTGCGTGCTGTACTTGGTGTTACCAAGTTGACCGTTCGGGGGTGATATGGATGACGAGACGTCCGAGGGAGTCAGAGCCCCCGGGGCATGACCCAGATCATCAGGTCCGTAAGAGATTGGAGGATAGATCGGGTGAGCTGGATATGAGATCATTTGGTCGGGGAGCGAGTAGTTGATGTGCTTATCAGCTGCTGGGAATAGATGTAAGTAACGGGAAGAACAGAATCTAGGGTAGCAACGCTGCAAGCAGAACTCTAGCGAAGGTGATAAGACAGAAAGAAGGAGTACGTGTTATCGCACGAGGGAAGCTCCAAGGGGACATGAGACCCTTGGCGAGGAGCATTAGATGAACTGAGGGAGATGCGCGGTTAAGGGTCCGACAACACCAACGACAAGGTTACCGACGGTGTCATTGGTGTGACGGATTGCGTGCTCGTCCTCCGTGATCAACCAGGCATGCGGGTGCAAATGAGAGCACAACCAAAGGGATATCAGAAGATCGACAAATCAAAGCAAGAAAAGAGAAAACCAGGCAAAACAATGGCGAGATAGATGAAGCAAAACATACATGAGCCCAAAGTTAAACCTCAACTCTATAGGTTGTGGGCGCTATAGTGTATGGAGTGGCCCACGAGCGATAAGAGTTGGAACAGCAAGGCAACAATGACAGCCAAGATTAACAATCGCAAACAAACTAATGGCATAACAAACAAGAAGAAGCTTTTCCCCGGAAAAAGGAAAAGGGGGGATTTTAGATGGAGACGAACGACATCAACTTTGGCAACGATCCGAGTGCGCCTCAGCAATAGCTCTACCATTTCCATCTAATGCCGCAAAGGCCACAAAATTGAGACACGAACCAGGGATCGAGAAGATGGCGCAAACAATGCAACGTTGAGAGTCATAAAAGCTCAGACTTACCATGATAGGGATACCCTCTCACATCGATCGGATTCCGTTCATCCTCGATACTATCGTAGGAACTGACGGAAAGGCCGCCCATCCCCTCGGTCTGGTCGTAATCCATACTCAGGTTTTGGAAAGGAGCCAAGCCAGCCGAGTCTGCGTCGAAAGAGTAATGTCTACTCTTTGCCAGGGCAGGGTCGTGTCGGGAGAGTAAGAAGTTGAAATTCTCAAGCCTATCGAGGCTTGACGCTGTCTGACGAGCGATGTGCTCATCTGACATATTGGCTGCGCGATGGGTTTTTAGAGGTTTTAGAGCTGCGTCCGTTCTGGTAATGGCCTCGTTTTGGCCCTTGCCTCTTTAATTTAAGTTTCTGGTAATTTTCCCTTTTTTTTCTTTTTCTTCTTCTGAATTACCTCTTGCGCCCACCTAATCTAATTTAAAAAAAAATTTTCTGCTTCTTCTCGTGGGGGGAGCAAGGAACCAGACTGGAGGGCGATGGCGCCAGAACAAGCTTGAACCAGAGAAGAAAGCCAAACCCCAGATCGGCTCAAAGAGGGGAAAGCTCGGAATTGGTCCAGGAATGCACGAATTTCACAGGTCCAATATTGTATGACTTGTCGCAAAGATATCTGTTCTGCGATCACTGTAACGCAAGTCGCATAGCGCGGGAGGTGACCAGCCACGTACGCAAGAGAACGAATGGAAAATAATACTAGAACAATAAATATAATAGTTGACGACAACAACAATAACGGCCCGCGACGGGGAAGGACAAACTCGGTAATTAACCTCGTACGGATGGAGACGATAGAAGCCGTTCGGAGGGGGATCGCAGAAGAAGCGAAAAAGAACCACACCACAAGGGCCAATATCACCAACGCAGAGACATGGGCGATTGATGGAGCACCCAGCCGGGGGGGCAAAGCAGCAGGCGTAGCACCAGCGAGCAATTGGAACGAGGCAAGAGAGCTGATCGTCTCACGCCCGCCCAAGCTAGTGGATGATCTGATAGAATGGAGAAATGTCGTGATCGCACGCTCTGGTTCGCCAGTTGCAGCCTCGGAAGTAAGTGTATGGTAACGTTACCGCTTTCTCAGCGGAACGGCGGAGCAGTTGTATTTTTGATGGGGGTGGGAGGAAAAAAAGATCGGAGGTGAAGGAGCGGATGAAAGGGCAACGTACGGAAGGGGGGTGGGAGGATATGGGTAGTAGATATAAAGAATCAAAAATCAAAAGAAGACTTCAACGTCCACTAGAACACGGATACTACGTATTCGTCCCATTGAGGGGGGTATATCATGATCAAAGTGTGTGGATTGCCTTCTCCGCCCGTCAATAAGGGGACGGGAAGGAGGGAGGAAAATTACGTCCACATGCTGTTCACCCATACGACGCTGCGACGTAAGTGTCGTCTTGTACCTACTAGTACAGGTAGTGTACTGGAAGTCTGGAAGATACTGTCAAAATATGGAGATCTGAGTGGATCAGGGAAGTTACAGGTACTTCTGATGTACTCGAGATAGAATTGTGATTGGCATTATCGCCAAGTACTCAAGTCCCTCGTCCTGCAGTGACGGCCCATCAATACAGTAAAATAGGTTAAGTCCGAGTACGTGCCAGTCATCGCCCATCGCCATGGCTCTTCCAATCTATTCCATCCCTTAGTTTATAACCAGACTCCACTTCGGGGATAAAGAACCTCTGTTCCAGACTTCTAGTCCGAAGCAAATATGGGTTTCATCCCAATTCTTGAGCAAATCACACCCATACCTTACGCGTTCCTAAATGACGCGGACCGTCTTTTTTAACTCCGTCCAAGTTTTATGACCTTACAAGGCAATCAACGCAACAAAGCTTGGCATTTCTCGACCTCCTGAGTTCTGAATCCTATTATTATTCCATTGTCCTTTGCTGGCGGCTTTCCCCGCGCTCCACGGCGGGAAGAAACAGTCCCTCCCCTTGTTCAGTTCCGTGGTAGTACTATTTCCCAAGAGATGGATTGATCGTCCAACAACACGGCTCTTCCGATACGAGAACTCAGCGATACGTAGCATGATCCGAAAAACAGAAGCCTGGGGAAAGAAAACAACTAATACTTCGTCTCGTTGAACGGACCTTGTGACCTCGGGATCCTGAGGAGCATCTGTACATATGGAGTACCATACAGTACAACCTCGACGCCCCAGCGATCTACTATGTACACCGGAAGAGAGTCATGATTATGTGATCCGCAGTTAGCCAGGGGTTTCTGGTCTCAACGCTACCAACAAGTCCACCCACCATCAATTAAATTCACTACTAATCACTGTGGTGTAGTTTGGCACAAAGCCAGTCAGTCCCTCCAGTGGCAGACTCCACCGTGGCTTCGTGGTGTGGCAATTTGAATGGCATATTCACCATTTCTGTACTTAGTACAGTAGAATTGTCCGCACGGTGAAGTCCGCAGTCTTTTAATGGGTTCTTCTATTTGCGAGGCTCGGTCTCCGCCGTGCGCATGGGTCATTTTCTATAAATGAATACCATCGATAGCTGCTTCCAGCACCATGTAGGACAGCTCATCTGTTGTCCACAGGACCTGGCTGAAGGAAGCTGAGGTCGGCTTTGGTACTTTCACACTTGGTCTGAGGATCTATATTGCATATTCTGAGAAAATCCATCGTCTGGGAAGCCCTTTCATATTCGAAGCGCACATACTCGCCACTGGCATCTATTGGGGGCGGAAATGGCCAATTGGCAATTCCGACTTGTGCGGGTACCTAGGGTTAAAGCCTGAGCAAGCTCCTAGTTAGTGCGGCGCGTCCATGCGGTCCGGGCTTAAGCCATGGTTATCCAGTTCCAAAGCTTGCAGGCTAATGCATATCCGCAGTCGTATATAACTTTCCTGGGCCTCGTGGTGCTGTAGTGTGACTGGATCACAATACCGGTAAATAACTACCGGTACTCCGTATCATTTAACAGACTAAAAGTGGCATGTAGAAACGATGCATTCACAGGGATCTAGTTCATGCGCCTTGATCCACCAGATGACTGAATTTTATTTCGTCAATCTCTCACTATCTTTCGACATGGACTCCGTAGAGAATGGCGTGATTTGGACCTCTAGCGGATTGCGTGAGAGGCAGCCTTGGGATCCAGGCAGTTCAAAGCAAGGGCTCTCGTGACCCTAGATTCTCGTCCCCACTAACAGCACGTCTTGGGACTTTTGTTTTATCTTCGCGGTAGGGCATTTGGCTCTGACAGCCTCAGTTGTCCTCTCCCCCAGTTGCATACATTCCCGTTCACTTTCGCCACTTGGAAGCTGTATCTTCCGGTGTTTGGCTTCGTGCTGGACAAAATTCGGGTTCCGCGCTGAGGACAGACCTCCTACACGGGACGAGGATGCAATTCTGCAGTCGCAAGATGTTTTACAGGTACACTCGTTCGCAAACTACTTGACTTGGAGCTTAGGTCTCGTACACTAATAACTCTGAGTGTCCGTCGCCTTCTCCTCACCTTTAACAACCCTCAAGGCTATTGCACGGCCAACAGTTTCTCCAAAGATCGCTGGTTTTAGCACACCGAAAACTTCTGCCACACTGACCGACCCACAATATCAATTAATTGAGTTACAAAAAAGAAAGAAAGAAAGAAAGAAAGAAAGAAAGAAAGAAGAGCCTACAAGAATTGTTCCGTTGCTACACAAGGTAGCGATATGACTGAGAGGAAAATAAAGTCTATAATTGATTTGCTATCCATCTCAGGCGCAGTCTAGTTCAAGTGCTCAACTTCTTCTCCCCAGACAAGATGGTCAATGTATCGTTATGGAGTTGCTACGTTAAGGATTAACTTGCAGACAGAAGCTCGATCCCACAAAACTATACCATCGTCAAAATAACCGCCTGTCGGCCGAGTACCCACGGACTCGCTTTATAGCTGTCACAGGCTCCCGACAAACCAGTCAGTGAACATCGCTAGCGCAGTATTGGGCACTCGACAAGCTATTTCAAGACAAGGCGATATTCACACGTTCATCGTGGACACTTCTGTTAGGTTGAAGCTGAGCAAAACAGTGTGATATATGGATCAGAGAAAGGGCTCTACAGCTTCTGGGTCAATCAAAGCCTGCTACTAAGAGTTATCGAGACTACTTTTTTGTTGTAAGTATAAAGTGGTGGCTTTTGATGCTCAGCCCAACTGCGGGCCGCAAGAAATCAAACCAAAGACCTCTTCACTGGTTATGAAGCTCAGATCATCGACCCTGGAAGAAAACGCGGCTGCTCAGATTAGTACGGATAGTCTACCAGCTAACCACCAGCTCCTTGACAGAGATTCGTATGTGCACTGCGACCACTTGCTCCATGTAGTGTTGATTCTTATTATCAAACGGTCTAGACATTCGGACCCTTTTGAATATCAAAAAATATGGTGGGCCCGGATCGGATGTGCTAAGCCCCGATTCCCGAGACATAAAACGAGCTTTGTTAACATTAAACATTAATAATTGGCGCTTCAACCCGCACCGGAAAAAGGAACCAAGTTGT